CGTTTAGGCCCATGTTCCGCTGGGGGCGGGTGGGCGCGACTCGCTGCCTCGGCGTGCAGGGGCGGTTAGGTCCCTCGGGGCCTTCCCCTGCGCGCCGTGCAGCGTAAGCCCTGCTCCCGCCTGATCAACGGGAGTAGGCGTGGCGCTAAGGCGCGCGTGCGTGTGGTGCGCCTCTCGATCCTTAAGGTGTCCTTCCGGGGCGCTGCGTTTTGGGCACCTCCTACCTCTGCAGGGTTTGGCGCTCGTGGAGATGGAGTGGGCAGGGTTGGGCGAGGAGGCAGGGAGGGAAACACCTCACGCCATTGCCAGACACACACGTCGTGATGGCTTGAAGACCCGACGTCCACCATGAGAAGTTTTGTCAAGGGGCCGCGGCGCCGGGGGCAGCAGCAGCAGCAACCCTTCAGCCGGCAGGCCCGGTGATCCATGCGCCAGCGGCGGCCCCTGCTGCGGGCGGACCCCCAGGAGGGGGGGGGATGCAGGCGTTGCCGGGGGGCCCGGCGGTTCCGGGGGCTGCGCCTGCGGCCCTACGCAGGCCAGCGGCAGCACCCGGCGCAAAGGGGCCAGTTCTCCGACGCCCCGCAGGTCGGGCGGCCGGACCGGCTCCGAAGCGTGTCCGTCGGCAGTAGGTCGGGGGTCGGTCGCTGGGATGGCGGCCAGGTCGGTGGTGGCAATGCCATCGGGCCTCAGTAGTTGGCCCCCCGTCGCCGTCGCTGTTGATGACCATGCGGGTGTAGGGCATAGCCGAGGGAGGCCCGTCGTCGTCGAAAGACCGCCCTGGGCGCTGGGGTTCGGTCTTGCACCGTTCCTCCTTGGGCGGGGGTCTTGAACCCTGGCGACGCGGGGTCTTGAACCCGATGTCTCCCGAGGCTACGGCCACGTTGACTTCGTGCCTGTCCACCAGTTCAACCTTGTAGTCGTCCGACCAGCCGTTCTGTGTATCCTGTCCCTGGTGTCCGTCCTGGGGACGTACCGGCTAGCCGAGTGAGGACCGTCGTCGCCGTAAGGCCGCCCTTGGCGCTGAGGTTCGGTCTTGCACCGTTCCTCGTGGGCGGGGGTCTTGAACCCTGACGACGCGGGGTCTTGAACCCGTTGCCTCATGAGGCCGTGCTCGTACGTCGGGAAATCATCTGTCTGTTTGACGGGCAAGGCCACTGCGTGGGCGGGAAGGTGGGGCAGCTGTCGTATCACGCGTTCTGGTCCGCCGACCATACCTCGGCGAGCACGGCGGGGGCAACCTAGTGGCAGGATTCTTGCGTGCGCGCGTGGTGGTGTGTGTGTGTATCGGTGTTGCACGTTGTGGGTGTGTGTGTGTGGTATCGGTGTTGCACGTTGTGTGTGTGTGTGTGCGCACGCGCACTTCGCGATAGCCACGTCCATGTATGCTTGAAGTTCCGGGAGCAGTGTGGGCCTTCGGACGTGCGGGCGCTCCTGTTACGTGATCTTTCGCCATCGAGTGTTTCCCTCCCCCTGTCCCTCCCCCCCAAGCCCTCTCCGTCCCCAGGCCTCGGCTGGGGGACGGGGTAGGGGGTTCGATCCTTGCCCGGCTGGGAGGGCGAGGGCAGGTCTTCTCGACCGACACGCCCTCCACTTCCACTTCCACTTCCACTGCACCACCATGCTCGCCATCTCGCTTAGGTCTGAGTCACTGGCGGCCCCTCCCCTCTGCGCCAGAAGCTGCTTGATCTGCTCGAGTCTCGACGTCAGGAGGGCACCAGGCTCGCGGCGGCTCACAGCTCTGATCCAGCGGCCTGAATCAGGGGGGCGGCCTCGTTAAAACTCGATGATCCGCCCTCGTCACCCTCCGTAGTGCCAGAGTTAGTACGCTTCTTCCTCCTCTTGGAGCCCTCGAGCTGAGCCTCTGCCCGCGCAGCCAGCATTGAGCCGATGTCACGCTTCCTGAGCAGCTCAGCCTTCGCCCGATTCAGTTTCCTCCTCAATTCCTTCGCCTCGTCACCGTCGGGCGCCGCAACCGCGCCCGCTGCCACTGCTGCACCGTCGCCATCCGCTCTGCCGTCTGCACGTCCGCCTGCACCAGCTCCGTGTCCTCCCGCGTCGCCAGCAGCACCAGCCTCCACGACACCCGCCGAGGCAATCACGGGCCCTCCAGGCACACCTCCGGTCAGGCCCACACTTCCCAGCGCGCCTGGGGCGGTGGCGCGACAGGTGTCCACGTGCACTGTCGGCCGTCCAGGCCACGTCACCAGCGGGGAGCACCGACTGGCAGGACACCTGGCTGATCCCGGAGAGCGCCTGCAGCATCGGGTGGTGCTCTGAGGCCGTCGTCGACACACTGCACCTCAACGAAGGACCCCTGGGCATCCGCAGGCCACGCTCCTCGGACACGGAGGCTCCTGTGCCAACTGGGGTGCTCTGCCCATCCTGCAGCACCACCTCCAGCGAGCACCCTGGGTACAGCCCACTGAACCCACGGACAACGGGCAGAAAGGCCCGTGGATCCACTGGCCGAACAGCGACGCGCCGAAGCCCCCGCCTCCAGGCGCAGCCAGCCCTCCGCCGACGCCAGCGAGCCCCAGGAGCCCCCTCATCGGACCTCCGAAAGCGCCTCCTGGCACCATGGGCGGAACGCCTGGTGCAGCTGCTCCCGCGGCCATCGGCACGGCGCCCGCAGCTCCTGATCCGCGGGTTCCTCCGACTCCGGGGGGGCCAACGCCTGGGCCTGCCCCAGGTGGCTCCACTCCAGCACGGTGACTGGGGCATCACGGCAGGCACAGCTGGACCGCCAGCGCCCACGGCGCCAGCCTTGCCTCGCTTGACGGATGGTGGCTGGCCCCCCATACCAGGCTTCGCCACGGCAGCAGCTGCCTTGCCCTCCCCCACCTTGGAAACAGGGGGGGACCGCCAAGCCCCCCTGGCATCGCGGGGGCCATCCCTGGGACCACCTCCGGGCGGCCCGCCTGCGAAGCCGCCACCAGCACCAGCCCCACCGCCGATGCCCAGCACCCCACCAGGGGCGCCTCCGCCTGTCACGGCACCCAGCATCCAGAGCTGCGGCGGCAGGCGAGGGGGGCAGCGGGGGACAGGGAGACGCAGATGGCCCCCCGCTGCCCTATGGGCCGCTCGATCTCGCGCGACGAACGGTCCACCTCTGCGAGCGGTCTCCGAGCGGCGCGGCAGGCGGACCGATCGGGTCCGATCGATCGACCAGGATCCTCGCCCGCGCCTCCTGTGGCGAGTGATCCCTCTCCACTTGAAGCCAGAACAGCTACATCCCGAGATGCTGGATGGATGCGGAGCGGGAGCGGGAGGACAGACGGATCACATAACCCACGGGACCCGAATATCTACATACATGGATACGCACACACCCACACCGACATATATATATATATATATATATTATGTGTGGTCGCCCCCCCCCCCCCAGCGCCCCGCACACCACCAAAACAACAAATCAATCATTAATCGCTTGCTCCTTCTCATCCTCCTCCTCTTCATCCTCTTACTCTTCCTCCTGCTCCTCCTCATCCATCTGCACCCAAAAAAACAAAATTACACAGTGTTTGGCGCCCTCGATGCAAGGAAACGCTGTGTATGGTTGTTTTTTTGATGTTGCTGGGTTTGAGGATCAACGAAACACTGTGTACTTGTTCTTCTTTTTTTTTTTGGTTTTGGAGGCCCCATGCTCGCAGCGGCCTCCCTACCAGCATCCTTCTGCTTGCCAAATCATACCCCCCCCCCCCCCAACAACAAAAAAAAACACTGTGTGTGGCGCCCTCGAGGCAAGGAAATGCTGTGTATGCTTGGGTGTTGTTTGGTTTTTTTGGGTATGAGGATCAACGAAGCACTGGTTTTTTAAGAAAAAACAAAATACCAAAAAAACAGTGTTTCGTTGATTCTCAGACCCACCCCCCACCCCCTCAAAAAAAAAGCATTTCCTTGCATCGAGGGCGCCAAACACTGTGTATGTTTTGTTTGTGTTTGGTTTTATGATTTGGCAAGCAGAAGGGTGCTGGTAGGGAGGCCGCTGCGAGCATGGGGCCTCCAAACCCCCCCCCCCCCCCCCAAAAAAAACAGTGTATCGTTGATCCGCAAATCAAAAAAAAACATACACAGCGTTTCCTTGCATCGAGGGCGCCAAACACTGTGTATGTTTGGTTTGTCGGGTATTTATTGTGGGGAGCAGGAGGAGGTGCAGATGGATGAGGAGGAGGAGGAAGAGGAGGAGGATGAAGAGGAGGAAATGGGGTGGAGGCATGAGGGCCCTGCCACTGAGGCCTTCGGTGAAGCTCCGTATGGAGCAACTTACTGTTGAGAGGAGCGGCACGCAACGTCTCCCATTGGGGCCTGCGGTAGAACTCACAACGAAGACATGATGATGGAGGAGCGTGAGGATAAGAATGAGGAAAACAAGCATTTACGATCATTCAAACGGAATGCTGGGGGGGGAGGGGATGTGGGTGGAGGCAGGGTTATGACGGAGAGAAGGGAAAAGCGTATCATGAGAGGGAGCAGGAGGAAGATGAGCAGGAAGAGGAAGAGAAAGATGATCGTTGGGGGGCGATGGGGGGGCGAGCATATATATATATATATAGATATACATACATCTACATATATATACACACATATATACATACATATACATATATATATATATGCATTTCGAATATACATATTTCATTATATAGCTAAGCGCATACATGCAACTATACACATACATGCAAAACTGCTTCGATGTGTGTGCGCGCCATTTTTATGTGTATGTATGCATCATGTATATATTGTATGCATCGGTCTCTCTCTCTCTCTCTCTCCCTCTCTGTATATGTACATTCCTCCCTTCGCCCGCTCCCTCTGCTACTCCCCGTCCCCTCCTGGCCCTCCTCGTCCCCTCCTTCCCATCTTCCTCCGCCTCGCCCGCCCGTCCTCGTCGTCGCCCTACTCATCCTCCTGTCGCCCCGTCCTCCTCCTCCTCGCACCTCGTCGTCGTCGTCGTCCTTCCCCTGGTCTCGCGATCGGAACGCTGCCAGGGCCGCGAC